CATTTAAACTATTTTTTTGTTCATTTGAACTATTTTTTTGCTCATTTGAACTATTTTTTTGTCCATTTGAACTATTCTTTTTTTCATTTGAACTATTTTTATGTTCATTTGAACTATTTTTGGTTTATTTCATTAATAATATTTTAATAGTTCAAATGAAAATAGTTCTAATGAACTAAAAAATAGTTCAAATGAGTAATATATTTACTCGTTTGAACTATTGTTCATTTCAACTACTCACGTGGTCCCACGTGCAGTAGTTGAAATGAACAATAGTTCAAATGAGCCATAGTTCAAACGACAGTAGTTCAAATGAAATAGCACCGTTACACATGCGGTAAGTTTCAGCGCAATGATGCGTATTATCCTTCTGATATCTGTCCATAACAACGGAGACACTGGAAAATAGTTTATGTTCTACAAATACGATTTGTTGTTGAGCCGTGCAACAAGGTGCAATTTAAATAATAAAATAGCCATGGCTACAGAACAGGTTTTTCTGCTATTATTGCGCTACTGCGCATTGGAAACCCTAGCCATGAACAAAAGGAAGCAGATTGGACAATTTCGAGAAGAAAATTTTCATATATTTTTGCAAAGATGCCTTTAAAGGGAATTTGATTATCAGTTTTCTTTGTATACACATTTAGTTTTAACATTTTGGAAATATTTTTGCATATTTGAATTTGCCGTGTCAATTGGGCTTTTCAAAAATGTAATATATCTATCTATATATAAATTTGGCTTGTCTGTCTGTTTGTCTGTCTTGGTGTCTGTCTGTCTGTTTGTATCCAATAAACGGCTGAACCGATCAAGATAAACAATCAAACCCAACCTATATCAAATTAATAACATTCGTATCCATCCTTTACAACATTCGTAGCAAGCCTATCATGACATTCATATCCAAGTATCAAGATAAGATAAACAATCAAACCCAACATTCGTATCAAAATAGCAGCATACATTAAATGGCGTCGTCTATATACCAGTGACAATTGGGGTTTGCAGAAATATTGCAGAGTGCTTGATATCGCAATAAATATTTGAAATTTTGCTATTTTACAATTTTGCAATTTTTTTTGCAGATTATTAATGTAGAGCCCAAGGGCATTTTAAAAGTGTATTAAATGCGAGAACCAAAAATCAAGCTTCAAATCGTCATATTTTTCGAGTTTCATCCTGTATGGGTAACCCTACATGTATATAATATAATAAATATAATTCACGTAAATTCATTTAAGATTAAATATAAGTTAAATCGTATTCCATTCTCATTTATTAAGGATTAAGGATACAGAGTGGTATTTCTGATTCACGTCACCCTTTAAACCTTTGTCTGTTGAAGGTGATCTTTTTTTTCTGCTAAAACAGGGAAGGAAAATGTCAGAATTCAACATTTTTATTATCAGTATGCAAAACAATGATAACTTCCTCATTGTTGCTGAAATGAATTTTTTAGGGTGCAGTTGTGAATCCGAGGTGCCCCTCTTATGTTTTTTTTTATGGAATGTGACTCGTAATTACATCTACAGAAGGAGCATGATAGAGATGTATTCATGACTGCTTCTCTGCTAATCACCACCTTTTTAGAAATAATTTGTTGATCACGATTAATTGGATGTTTGTTTTCAATCTCTCATTCTGTTTTCAAACTATTCTAAGAACTCCTTAGTTTGCTGTAACGAGGTGATAGTACTTACTCTCGGATTCTAGTCCTAACTAATTCTTCAGAAATGTGGAAAACATGTTTATCTTATATTTCACCGATTAATTGGATGTATTGAAGGCGGGTTGGAACCTATTAATTGGATGCTATATCGATAGTTTAAAGGCTGATTAGACTAACGTACAATTGTTACTGAATTTCAAATGAACAAATTTTGAAAATAATTTTATTTTTCTATTCTAACGCATCATTATTAGAGAAATTAGTGGCCGCAGCGCCGGCCCCCTAGCCTGTCCTAGTCGCGGTGCTCGGCCCCCTAGCATTTCCTAACCACAGCCCGATCGGCCCCCTAGCGGTGGGGCTCGGTCCTGAAATTGTTGAAACCCAGCCTAACCCTTAAATCTTAAGATTACATCATAAATTTTTTTGTGTAAATTACTTAAAATTCTTGATAAAAGGTCATTTAATTTTAAAAATTAAAAACTTAGTCAAATTGAACAAATATTTGTTCAAAAGAACTATATATGTTCTTTTGAAAGTTATTCTAGATGAACATTAGGCCAAACGAATGTTAATCCAATTGATATGACACCATTCTTTGGAACTGATATTTTATTGAACAAAAAACTATGCATGCAATAATTTTGTTGATTTGAAAGGGCGGGGATCTCGAAATGTGCGGTGAGAACTACTGCAGTCAATTTTCCAGGCAAAAACTGTGGGGTATATATTTCTCATCCCCAACGGTCCCGGTCAACTAGAGTTCTCTAACTGTAAACTGTAAATTGTAAACTGCAAACTGCATACTACAAACTGCAAACTGCAAACTGCAAACTGCAAACTGCAAACTGCAAACTGCAAACTGCAAACTGCAAACTGCAAACTGCAAACTGCAAACTGCAAACTGCAAACTGCAAACTGCAAACTGCAAACTGCAAACTGCAAACTGCAAACTGCAAACTGCAAACTGCAAACTGCAAACTGCAAACTGCAAACTGCAAACTGCAAACTGCAAACTGCAAACTGCAAACTGCAAACTGCAAACTGCAAACTGCAAACTGCAAACTGCAAACTGCAAACTGCAAACTGCAAACTGCAAACTGCAAACTGCAAACTGCAAACTGCAAACTGCAAACTGCAAACTGCAAACTGCAAACTGCAAACTGCAAACTGCAAACTGCAAACTGCAAACTGCAAACTGCAAACTGCAAACTGCAAACTGCAAACTGCAAACTGCAAACTGCAAACTGCAAACTGCAAACTGCAAACTGCAAACTGCAAACTGCAAACTGCAAACTGCAAACTGCAAACTGCAAACTGCAAACTGCAAACTGCAAACTGCAAACTGCAAACTGCAAACTGCAAACTGCAAACTGCAAACTGCAAACTGCAAACTGCAAACTGCAAACTGCAAACTGCAAACTGTAAACTGTAAACTGTAAACTGTAAACTGTAAACTGTAAACTGTAAACTGTAAACTGTAAACTGTAAACTGTAAACTGTAAACTGTAAACTGTAAACTGTAAACTGTAAACTGTAAACTGTAAACTGTAAACTGTAAACTGTAAACTGTAAACTGTAAACTGTAAACTGTAAACTGTAAACTGTAAACTGTAAACTGTAAACTGTAAACTGTAAACTGTAAACTGTAAACTGTAAACTGTAAACTGTAAACTGTAAACTGTAAACTGTAAACTGTAAACTGTAAACTGTAAACTGTAAACTGTAAACTACAGACTGTAAACTGCAAACTGTAAACTATAGACTGTAAACTGCAAACTGCAAACTGTCAACTGTAAACTATAAACTGTAAACTGTAAACTGCAAACTGTAACCTGTAAACTGTAAATTATAGACTAAACTGAAAACTGTAAATTGTAAACTATAGACTGTAAACTGCAAACTGCAAACTGTAAACTGTAAACTGTAAACTGAAAAGTGTAACCTGTAAACTGTAAATTATAGACTGTAAACTGAAAACTGTAAATTGTAAACTATAGACTGTAAACTGCAAACTGCAAACTGTAAACTGTAAACTGTAAACTGTAGACTGTAGACTGTAGACTGTAAACTATAGACTGTAAACTGTAAACTGTTCACTGAATGTCCTTCTTATCCACTGTTAGACCCATAAGACGATAATAAATGTTTTATTTTAATGAAAATATTTTTACTAATTCTGGGTGTTTAAGGGTTAACAAATTTATATATGGTGTAGGGATACCTTTCTTATGTCTTAACATAATAAATTCTTTGCTTAAAGGGAATTTAAAAGAAAAATGAAATGGGCTATTTGTGTGCAACAAACTCTTATGGGTCTTGATCAACTCTTAAAATGCTTAGGTTTCAGCCTATACCCCCTTTCATTTTTCTTTCACAGTCCCTTTAACTAAAATTCATTTGTTGAAATATATTTACTTTTAATGTTTTCACTCTCAAAAAATAATGAAATAAGTGATGTTTTATTTTTATCTGAATGTGTGATTTGTAACTGGGAACTGTAAAATTCGAGTAGGTTAACAAACGATGTAAAACGTTTATCTATCAAACTGTAAAATTTGATCAGAGTAACGTTGTAAAACGTTTATCTATCAAACTGTTAAATTTGACCAGGGTAACGTTTCACAACGTCTATTTATCAAACTGTAAAATTTGACCCGGGTAACGTTGCATAACGTTTATGTATCAAACTGTAAAATTTGATTAGGGTAGCGTTGTAAAACGTTTATGTATCAAACGGTAAAATTTTAGTAGGGCAACGTTGTAAAACGTTAATTCATTGAACTGTAGAAGAATAAAGTTATAAGTTGTTGTTGTTGCTGCAATGGACAATAATGTGGAGCTTCTAATATCAAAGAACCCAAAAGCTTAGAATGGAGTTTCACAATCTCCTGAATCAGGTTCAATATCTTCATCTCTTCAGGGTAGTAGCCAGGACCCTGAATACGCCTCGGTCAGCAATAACAAGAGGGTAATCATAGAAAATAAAATGCTTTAAAGAAGGATGAGAATATGGGAGCGTAGATGCATTCAAACATAAGGCCAGTTCTAAGGCAGACCTTTAGATAGAACGTTTCATGTCGTCATTATAAGTCTTATCCGTTGTGGATGCTTTGTCAATCGCGTTCTCTCAATTTCTTCTGAATTCCGGTAATTTCTTTAGAAAAAAATATACACCTTGTAAGTTAATATATTTCGTCCTAAAATTACAATATACAATATACAATAAAGTCATATGCATGGACACTACGCAGTAGGCAATCAAGCCAATTGGGTTAAGATTGAGAAAAATTAAAGATACTAATTAGTACAATGGTAGGCGATTATGTCAATACAATGACGACGACCTTCGATTTCAATTTTGATTTATATCAAGCTTTTAAGCATCATGGATAAATAAAAACATGGAAACAATAAGAAGCTGTTAATTAAAAAAGTTTCTTTTTAGTTACTTGTAAACTTTAGTAGTCGTCTTCATTATATTGATATAATTGCCTATCACCTTTTGAGGTATAAACTTAATAAGGGAAAATGGGATTGTTTACATTTAAACGTGACAGTACAAATACGTCACATTAAATTGTCAACAAACTCTATTCACCTTACCTTAGTTCAACTCTCATTGGTATGATAAGATAGATACAATAATATTACAATTTAAGACTCTGATAGGACGCTGTTATAAGCCGTAATTCTTTAAATGCTCGTGAATTTTTTCAAACATACAGAAAAAAAGGGAATGTAGAACTTAAAAGAATGAGTCTAAAAAAACAACCAAAATATGACATGGCAACATTAAAAAAAAATTGCATAACAAAAATTTTTTTGGACATAATCCGGGCCGAATATATTTTTCCTTTTCCTAGATTATTAGTTTTGGTGGCTAAACAAGTCTAGTTTCGACGTAGAGAAATTAACTATTGTAAAATACAGATAATGTGCACACGACATGAAAGTGTACAATGAATTTCAGTTAAAGAACCAAAATTAACTGGAATTTTTCAGAATTGATTTTCAATTTTGAGAATAGTTTTACAGGGTACAAGAATAAATTTTGATCAATTTTGATTTTTAATAAGAATCAGTTGAGTTCAAAGTTTGCGCTACTGGGTCATTGATTTCAATTTAGAACGTACAAGTCGTTTCGAATAATATTGATTCATTGGCGTTTCAGTGTCCAAGGTATCTCTACAATTATTTCGGTTTCAATTAAAACAAGGTTGTATATCTTCGTCACGATGCGCTCCAATGTACAGGAAATGTCGTCTTCTAAGCATAGATAGATCAAATCCGTATATGACCGTCACTGATTATAGAGGGGAGAGTGTCGTCATATGCGGATTGGAAGCAACCTTATAATACTTGTTATATCTAAATTGTTAGCAGCGCAAACTTTGTGCTCATTACGATAGTGTTACAAAAGGAATATCTAATGAAAGTTGTCAAAACTCATTTGATTAGTTTAAAGGGACTGTGTACGTAATTTCAAATGATTCTCCGCGTTCCAAAACTTACTTGCAGATTCACCCTTTAAACTTGTATCTGGACACATAGTTGGGATAAAATAGATTTTTTTTCTCTAAAAATTAACATGTTTAATTTGAAGTTTCTCTAAAATTAACATGTTTAGTTTGACGTTTCTCTAAAAATTAACATGTTTTATTTGACGTTTCTCTGAAAATTAACATGTTTAGTTTGACGTTTCTCTAAAATAAACATGTTTAATTTGACGTTTCTCTAAAAACTAACATGTTTAATTTAACGTTTCTCTAAAAATTAACATGTTTAATTTGACGTTTCTCTAAAGCTTCACATGTTTAATTTGACGTTTCTCTAAATATTAACATGCTTTATTTGACGTTTCTCTAAAAATTAACATGTTTAATTTGAAAAATTAACATGTTTAATTTGAAAAATTAACATGTTTAATTTGACGTTTCTCTAAAAATTAACATGTTTTATTTGACGTTTCCCTAAAAAAGTGACGTAACATTTTTTTGCGGCTGAGACAAGAAAGGAAATAATTAGGTTTCAGCGGGTTTTTTTCAGATAGCAAATACGACGGTATGTTGTTTATCATTGTTTATCACGGTTTAAAGTGTTAGCTGAGACTCATGAAATTACGGAGACAGTTCCTTAAATAAGTTTTTTTAACATTGTCATGATTTTTGAAAATGCATTTATCTAAAGTAATGTTGATAGCATTTTTTTATTTATGACTTAAAAGCACTTTCCTTCAGCCCCCAGGCGCTTTTCATTTATCATTTTATAATAATTATGAAGCAGACAACATTCGTATACGTATTTATATAGATTACAACAAATATTCACGCAAAATTGACATCTTCTGTTTTCTCATTGAAACATAAAATAAAAAGCAAACCATTTCTGAATCATACTTTTTCAGATAAAAAGCATTCCACTTTTTCTAACAGTACATTATATTATGTACTATTTACATTGCATGTACACATGACTGGTCAAATGTTTAGGTTTAAGTACATAGAGTAACACTAAAGTATTGGTTGTTCTTTCAGACATTACGTACAATAGAACTACAGATGTACATACAAACATCTTTCCGATAAAATATTTCTGATAAATAATAGAGAAAAATAAAATTATAACAAAAGAATGTACGACATTGTTCAACAATGAAAGTCCATTTTTTAATGTTTATTTTGTCAGATTAATTGCTTTAGTCATAGTTAAATGTTTTTTATCTATCTTTAAAAATAATGGAAAAGCATTTTGATAATAAATATTAGGTGGAAATGGCGAAATAGATCTGCCATGATTTACAATGTACAGTGTCCGGTGTGTACTGCACAGAGTACAGTGTACAGCGTAGTGTACATAGAACAGAGTACAGTGTACAGCGTAGTGTACAGAGAACAGAGTACAGTGTAACTAAAATGGCAAATAATAAGTCGAATGATTATCTAAGCGTCGTTAGTTGGTGTGGTTAAATACTCATCAGCTCTCTAAAAATAAATAAAATTAAAATTCATAAAAATATGATAAGCCAATAATACCCACTAATGTAACTCAATAATTTTTTTTGACATACCTGAAAACCACAGAGTAGAGAATATCAGCTGGTAGTTCAGAGTTGTTTGTGTACCTGGGTCAGAATATCAGCTTTTAGGTGAGAGTTATATACCTGATAGGTTTCTAGTGACCTCTGGGTCAGATTATTAGGTGGGAGGTCATAATTATATACCTGATAGTTCTCTAATAACATCTGGGTCAGAATATCAGCCGGGTGGTCAGAGTTATATACTTGATAGTTCTCTAATGACCTCTGGGTCAGAATATTAGCTGGGAGTTCATAATTATATACCTGATAGTTCTCTAATAACCTCTGGGTTAGCATATCAGCTGGGAGGTCGGAGTTATATACCTGATAGTTATCTAGTTCCCTCTGGGTCAGAATATCAGCTGGGAGGTGAGAGTTATATACCTAATAGGCCTCTATTGACCTCTGGGTCAGAATATATAATGGGAGGTCATAGTTATATACCTGATAGTTCTCTAATGACCTCTTGGTCAGAATATCAGCTGGTAGGTCATAGTTATATACCTGATAGTTCTCTAATGACCTCTGGGTCAGAATATCAGCTGGTAGGTCAGATTTACGCCTAAGAAGGGGTTTCTCCAGATTCTTCTCAACTTTTACAGGGTTTACAACTACAAGGATAGATAAATACATTGACCAACTAAATAGACCAAGGCTAACATAAAATCTACAAAAAAAAATGATACAAAAACTGAGAAAATTAGGTGGACCTTGAAATCAGGATGTAGCCAGGGGGATGGAGTGGGGGGGGGGGAATTAAAGGTCGAAAACTTGAAGGGAAAAATTAATTCATTTACCCGAAATTTTTTTTCGTGCTAAGATAATATTTTGCCAAAAAGTAACAAACCCTAATAAAACATGCATAGAAAAAAAGAAAAAAATTAATCTCGAAGGTGATGAGAAATGAAAATTTAAAGATTTCTAATATTCCGTCTGGACCCCCCCCCTTTTTTTCAACAAAGGTGACAACCGTCCGCGAATATCAGTCTAAGCCTTATTTAACATAAAAAAGTTTAATCATGGGTGATTGCTTTTAATGACAGGGGGTGAGGGTAATCTAGGATAGGACATATCCAATTCTATGACAAATTATATAGTCAGCTGCGGGCCTGCATGTACCTGATGGGATTACAATCCCGTTTTGACCAGATCCAGTATTTACATCCTCAATCTCAGCTACTTTCTCCTAAATATATCAAATAATTTATCAGTATTTATATCCTCAATCTCAGCTACTTTCTCCTAAATACATCAAATAATTTATCAGTATTTATATCCTCAATTTCTGCTACTTCCTCCTAAATACATCAAATAATTTATCAGTATTTACATCCTCAATCTCAGCTACTTTCTCCATAATATAATACATCAAATAATATTTCAGTACTTACATCCTCAATCTCTGCTACTTTCTCCTAAATATATTAAATAATTTATCAGTATATACATCCTCAATCTCTGCTACTTTCTCCTAAATATATCAAATAATTTATCAGTATCTGGGTATTTACATCCTCAATCTAAGCTACTTTCTCCAAAATATATCAAATAATGTATTAGTATTTATATCCTCAATCTAAGCTACTTACTCCTAAATATATCAAATAATTAATCAGTATTTACATCCTCAACCTCTGCTACTTTCTCCTAAATACATCAAATAATGTATTAGTATTTACATCCTCAATCTCAGCTACTTTCTCCTAAATACATAAAATAATTTATCAGTATTTACATCCTCAATTTCTGCTACTTTCTCCTAAATACATCAAATAATTTATCAGTATTTACAACCTCAATCTCAGCTACTTTCTCAAAAATATATCAAATAATGTATTTGTATTTACATCCTCAATCTCTGCTACTTACTCCTAAATATATCAAATAATTTATCAGCATTTACATCCTCAATCTCTGCTACTTTCTCCTAAATATATTAAATAATTTATCAGTATATACATCCTCAATCTCTGCTACTTTCTCCTAAATATATTTAATAATTTATCAGTATTTACATCCTCAATCTCAGCTACTTTCTCCATAATATAATACATCAAATAATATTTCAGTATTTACATCCTCAATCTCTGAATCAAATAATTTATCAGTATTTACATCTTCAATCTCAGCTACTTTCTCCTAAATACATCAAATAATTTATCAGTATTTACATCCTCAATCTCAGCTGCTTTCTCCTAAATATATCAAATAATTTATCAGTATTTATATCCTAAATCTCAGCTACTTTCTCCTAAATACATCAAATAATTTATCAGTATTTATATCCTCAATCTCAGCTACTTTCTCCTAAATAAATAAAAAATGTATCAGTATCTAAGTATTTACATCCTCATCTCTGCTACTGTCTCCTAAATAAATCAAAAAATGTATCAGTATCTGTGTATTTACATTTTCAATCTCTGCTACTTTCTCCTTAAGAAATAAACAGTTCATCACTAAAATTAGGTCTTAAATTTTCGTAGCACTTATAATTATGTTGCTTGTTTTGTTCAACAAAAAAAAAATCTTATTTACAAACAGAGGTATTTCAATTTCAGATTGATAAGTTATTATATTATATTCCTACCCTTGGTTCCAATGAAGAGTGACCGTGACCGTAACCGTGACCGTGACTAACCTCTATAAGCCCATCTGGCAGAAGACTTGTGTCAGCTAACATTTTTGAGACAGCTTCTATATCCGGGTTAGCGCGAGCTAAAAAACATTAAGATTAAAAGTATATATTATCAATAATAATTGAGGGGTGGGGGGAGGCAAGGGGCAGTGTCCCCTTAGATATGGCATTTTCACCAAAACATGCTGTGTTTCTTCTTATTTTTTTTAAGAGGGGGGGGGGGAGCAACTACCCAGATGAAGCCCTGTATACACACTCGCATCATTTTAGACAAATTTTATTTAGTTATTTAGTTATTTAGTTATTTAGTTATTTAGTTATTTAGTCATTTGGTTATTTGGTTATTTAGTTATTTAGTTATTTAGTTACCTCTTTCCTCCACCCTCTTCCATGCTTCCAATCTTTCTCTGGCTTTATCTTTTTCTTTAGAAACCTCAGCCTTGAATATCAAATGTTACCGTCATTGCAATTTCTATTGGTTCTGAATCGTCATCCAGAACGTGACTGAACCCTGATTGGATCAGACGCTACCCGAAATATGAAACAACAGTGGCACAAGAGTAAAGGTTGAACTAGGTCTGCGTGGTTCAGCTTCTTTTTATCTTTTATTTTCCCTAATTCAACGAATAAACCCTAACATTCATAAAACATAACTTCTGAAGAAAAAAAATCATAAGAGGACGGGGNGGGAAATATATCCCTCTTCTCATTTCCACTACATTTAACATACCTTGAATTGCTGAGTACACTCGTCAAATAGTTTTTGGTTCATCTCCATGAAGAGTTTGAGTGCATTGTAGATTAAACCATGAATAGTCTTGTTCCAGTGGTTCTTACTAAAACACAAGGTAAGTTAAGGTCAATAGGGAATTTATATTCGATGTTAGGTACTTTCCCAAAGACCTTTTCCCAATTGAAAACTTCCCAAATATGGAATTTATCAATCGGCAACTTCCCAAGTCTGTCCTAGTCGCAGCACTCGGTCCCTAACCTGTTCTAGAAGCAGCGCTCCCTCCCCAAAGCCCATCCAAGTCGCAGCACTCGGCCCCCCCCCCCATTGCAGCCTGCGGCGCCTCAGAAGGCCTAACCTAACCTTCTAAAGATGCTGCTTGGAAATTTGCACAATTGGAATTGGGAAGCTGCCACTTGGGAAATTGTCACTTGGGAAGTCACCCTTGGGAAAATTTTTAAATCCTTTATAATTATTTCAATTAACAAAAATGTTTCTTTAATAAGAACACTGACCTATTTCTGTAAAGAGCTGGGAACATGATGGGGAGGATTGTACTGGCATTATCCGATATCAAGGACATTATGTACTCATTGTTCCAATAGTACAATGCTCTCTCAGCAACCTGAATATATGTATTCAATATTCCAATAGTACAATGCTCTCTCAGCAACCTGAATATATGTACTTAATATTCCAATAGTACAATGCTCTCTCAGCAACCTGAATATATGTACTCAATAGTCCAATAGTACAATGCTCTCTCAGCAACCTGAATATATGTACTCCATAGTACAATGCTCTCAGCAACCTGAATATATGTACTTAATATTCCAATAGTACAATGCTCTCTCAGCAACCTGAATATATGTATTCAATATTCCAATAGTACAATGCTCTCTCAGCAACCAGAATATATATACTCAATATTCCAATAGTACAATGCTCTCTCAGCAACCTGAATATATGTACTTAATATTCCAATAGTCTCTCAGCAACCTCAATATATGTACTCATTGTTCCAATAGTACAATGCTCTCTCAGCAACCTGAATATATGTACTTAATATTCCAATAGTACAATGCTCTCTTAGCAACCTGAATATATGTACTCAATATTCCAATAGTACAATGCTCTCTCAGCAACCTGAATATATATACTCAATATTCCAATAGTACAATGCTCTCTCAGCAACCTGAATAATAATAATACCTGGAAGTGAGGACTGGAAACACACTTTGTAAGCTGTGTGAACAAGGGTCCCATCACCTCAAATAAAAAAAGTTAGAAAAAAGATTTTTAATAAATTGTGAAAAGTCGTCAAACTACTAAAAGACGACTCAACCATGTATCCTATAAGGCTGGTTCAACCAAATTTTGAACTATCCTTGTGACAAAAGAGCCCAGGTCTGTTTCTGCCAACATATTGATGAACCCTATACTTGCAGCACTCTGATTGGTCGGAATTGTCAGACACTTTGCCTGCATCAGCTGACATAACATTAGGGGGATCAAAATATTTACGTTTGAATCAGTGATTTAGAATTTGAGCCAGTAAGCACTTGAGAAGTAGTTGAACTGTCGATAGGTAGTTTCAACAATTTCTCTCCAATTTAATTAATTCCGTCCTGGAGTGCGATGCCGGGGTTGGCTAAAAAACTCACTTTTTATTTCAATATTTAAGTTTGCAACGCCGACTGTTCTTAGGTCTAATATTCTAACAGAAATTATGTAAAATCGGTATAAATGTACAGATTAAACTGTACACTATAAAGTGTACAGCTTGTACACACTAACCTTCTGGAACTCGGCAGGTTCGATGACATCTAAGATTTCCTCTAATTCGTTGAGGAACATAACTTCTTTAGGACTGTGTACTTTAGGCCAGTATCTAAATTTAAACAAGATGGTAAACACAAACTCAGGGATATTTAAAAAAAATATCTCCCCCCAGTCCAGTCCAGTCCAGTCCCGTCTCGTCCCGTCCCGTCCCGTCCCGTCCCGTCCCGTCCCGTTCCGTCCCGTCCCGTCCCGTCCCGTCCCGTCCCGTCCCGTCCAGTCCCGTCCCGTCCAATCCAATCCAAATTTTGATATTTTTATTACCTTAGTAAGGACATAATAACCGGTTCAGTTAGAGATGGATCCTTCTCTAAAAACTGTACAACGCAGTACGCTAGCTGGGGATGGTACACGGACAGACTACGCACTTTATGCAACGGCAACAGGACCTATCCGGGTAAATAGTTAAAAGCACGTAATTTCAAATGAACCTCCAGTTAAACAGTGCCAGGTCGCATTCACAAAGGTACCTTTAAAATGGTGTCCGATCCAGATGAGAAAATAACTTTTTTTCTTTTCAATTGCGACTTTTCTGTAAAATGTGCTTGCGGATTTCTGCTACAAAGAGTGAAGAAAATTGTCAGAATTGATCATGTTTTATGATAGAAAAACGCCTATGTCGGCTCATAGTTACTTAGATTCAGGTTTAAATGGTATCATTGTAAATATAACATGCCACTCTACAAGAGAAAGGTTACATTAAATTACATTTTTGATGCATGTGGATGCACTGGGGAAAAAATGAAAAAAAGACTTGCCAATTCTCCTAGATTTTTGGGTAATTCCCCCCCCACCCCCAAAAAAAATTTAGTTATTTTCTTAAATACTGCTGATAAAATTCTAATAACATACCGAATATCTGGGGAACAAATAAATTAATAGTTTTCTATAAGAAATAAGAAATATAAGATAGATCTGGAAGGGAATCCGAACCCGGAGTATTAATTTTTCTAAATTCTGAATATCAACTATGGACACTTTTGATTTCTACTTAATCAGCTCTTTTCCCTTCTTTTTTGATATTCCTACCAGATTCTGACCAATGAGCGTTCTCTCAATAAATGGCGCGGAAAAATTTCAAAGTTTCCGGCTTCTGATGCGCCACTCTGATTGGTTGAATTTTATACATTTTTTTGGATACAAGCTGAAGATGAATTTAATCTTGAGATTAATAAAAGGGAAAGATCAAGCAGTGATCTCAATGTCCACAATTTCAAAGTTTTCAGCTCTGAATACCTTGAGAAGGAAGGTCTTGTGCTCCTCCTTGAGTGGGAGAGCGAACCCGTTGATGATGGATCCCAGGATCTCCAGCAGCTCAGCCACACCGTTGTGTCTCTCAGTCTCGTAAATAAAGCTGTAGAAGATATTGTTGATCTGTTTCCTGATTAGTAAGAACTATTAAACAAATTAAAATTTTAAAATAATAGTTATCGTTCAATGATCAATCAATATACTTTCAGTTCCGTCCTCTCATAGTTCTTGTTGACCTCCCCCCCCCCTTTCCTTGATTATACTTTTCTAGGTTTCCCCTTCAAATCTTGTTATTATTATCATCATTATATAGCTATGGAAGGATGCTCTATTTTCAAGAAACCTTAAATAATAAGTTTACCACCTTAAATAATAAGTTTACCAAAATTTCAAATTTAATATTAGGTTGACATCCTTTCCAGCTAGCATCAAATGATCTCCTGGCATTAAACGATCGCCTAGCATTAAATCAATGCCTGGCATTTCAAGATCGCCTGGCAAAAAATATTCACCTAACATTGCGTGATCGCCTGGCATTAAATATTTACCTAGCATTTAACGATAAACTGGCGTTAAATAGTTTCTTATTATTTAAAGATAACCTGGCGTTAAATAGTTACTTGTTATTTAACGATAACCTGGAGTTAATGTTTACCTAGCATCGAGCTTTCAAATCAAATGTAAGAATGGCGCCGGGGTTTCACAACCGGTTTGCAAGTCCTGCTTCTAGTGCTTACTCTATGGTTTGTATAAATTCGGACTAATTCAACTAGCTTTAATTTATTTAGATTCTTTCCGTGCTTAGGATCCATTTAATTTTGATGCGGATCCTGATGCAGATCCTGGATCCGCACTGGAAAAAAAATGGATCTGGATCCAGGTTATGAATATTTCTTTATTATTAATTGAATTTGTTTGACAAAGCAATATTCAAAATTACGTTTCTTTTTTTTTCGCTTATTTTTATAAACTTGATGAACCATTCAGAGATGATACAGTTTTTTTTTTGCAGTTTTTGGTTGATATTTTTACCATTGGATCCAGATCCGTGGATCCGCATATTTTTTCGGATCCGGATCCAGAGCCCACGATTTAACAACTGAAACCCGACTTTAAGACCCAATCTTCGACCCAACTCTGACAGCTTGTGTCACCAAACACTGGATTCCACAACTTTAAAGTTTTTCATAAACGCTACAGTGCTCAGGAACCATCTGTGATTAACATTTAATGTTTTATCAGTTGTGAAAGTTAATTAGCGTAGAACGTTCAACTATTGCGGATTGCCCATCTTTTACCAACTAACCGTTCAACTTACGCATAATATTTAAATAAAATTAACTGACATTTAAAGTTCAACCAACGCTTAGCAAAGTTTTAAGTTCAACAAATGTATTATGTTTTACACAAAGTTTAACTTTAAACGAAGTGTTTAGTCCAGGAAAAGTTTAACGTTTAACGAGAGCTTAATATCAACAAATATTTTATCAGTTTACAAACAATGAAACGTTAAACAAATAGTTTAGCGTTAAACAAATAGTTTAGCGTTTAACAAAGAGTTTAATGGTCGAACAAGAGTTTAAGATTTAACAAAGAGTTTGACGCTTAAAACATCTAACGCAGAGCAACCTAAATTTGGTTGTACATAAGTGTAAAATATTCTTTTTTGTACCTGATATAGGCCCGGAGTCCTAGAAATTTCCCGTATATTCGGTGTAAACTGGTTTTCAGGAAATCACGCTCTCTGAATATAAAAATATTCATATCGGAAAAAAAGTAGAATTAATATTATTGTTAGATTCCAGAGGCCGAATTTAAAGAATTTGAGCGGCGGCTTAAATTCATTAAATTCGGGCACATCTTCATTCTTTTATCAGAAATAAAATATCAGTAGAAAAAATATCAAATAATGTGATATACCTCTTCATATTTTCTTCAGACTTTTGCAAAGAAGAAAAATTCGAAAAAAAATATGAGGGTTAAATTTTTCTCAGAAAATCTGACTGTAATCCTTCCTCAAATTATCAGTAAAAAGAAAAAGGTGTAAAAGTTGATTTCGAATAAAAATCTTTAAAGTTTGAACTTACATAAGTTTAAAATATCAATCACAGCTAAGATAACACCAAGCAAATTTTATTATTATTCATAAATTCATAAAAATCTTATCGAACCTACAGACTAATTTAATCTATTTATTTATTTTGCAACAAATTCAGTTATGTTATTGGAATTCTTTTACTTTCTACGTATTCCCCCCACCAAAAAAAAATCCTTTTCCAAAGAATCAACACTAAGGGGACACCCTTTTTCCACCCTTTAAGATAAGGATAACTTTCAACCAAAAATTCTTTTATTTTACCGAATTGAATGGATTAAAACAATTTTAAAAATGATTTTCATGAGGAAAGATGATTTTTCATCAGGCCATGTATTCTTGGGATTAGAGGGGGGGGGGCCCTATAACTTCCCAGGAAAATATATTCCCCTGAACAGAAATGAATACCTGGGATCCTCTGAATCAAATAGATCTAGGAGCTGGAGAACAAATCTCTGATCAATGTATCGTTTGGCCTGACCAGGCTGGAAATCACTGGACTCCAGGCATCTAGCAATTTACAGGTTTTAGATTTAACAAGACTCTTCACAAAATTTTAAATTTATATTTTCAGGAAATTTTAAATTTATATTTTCAGGAAATTTTAAATTTATATATCAGGAAATTTTAAATTTATATTTTCAGGAAATTTTAAATTTATATTTTCAGGAAATTTTAAATTTATATTTTCAGGAAATTTTAAATTTATATTCTTAGAGCGAAATTTCAGATTTCCATCGGTAACCTTTGAACCTTTTTGTGATAAATGCATTAAATTATTGATCCTTTGTAATTTTCTTTAAATATGAATTGCGGATTTCTGCTAAAAAATAATTTGTCAGAATTAAACACTTTTTAAAAGCTAGAGATTTTTTTAACGACATAAGAGTGATAGAAATGCGCGAGTTGATTTACGATGAAGTTTAAACAGTTTTCAAATAAAACGACTATTTCCAGTGCCCTAAAAACGATGTTGGTTCAGCATAAATAAAGTACAGAATGATCATAATTGTGATTCAAATTTCAAATTTTACATATTGTCAAAACAAAACATAAAAACGATTATTTAAATTAGTAGCCAGTAGGTCGAAGTAAAAATTCAACAAAAAATTAAAAATATTATTTTGATGTACAAAAACCACGAAAATTTTTATTTCCATCTTTAATTATTGGGCCGTGCGGAGGCTTTATCAAGGTGTACCTGAGAAAGAACTCATAAACAAGCTGAAGATGAGGCCAGGCAGCCTCCAGGGTTGGTTCATCCTCCTCTGGGTCAAACTCAGCCCCTTCATTTAAACAGGGGTAAATACAACCCTGGTGTATTCAGTCCAAGGGGACGGGGCACAATGGGGTCTCAGGGGGAGGTGGTGCCAGCAATATCGAATTTACGCCATAAACCTCTTATTCGAGTCAAATAAGGCTCGGTTGCTTGAATAATTATTTTTAAGAGAAGTCTCTGAAATATGAGGGAAAACTGGTAATTTCCGTAAAAACTCTTAAAATGGGTATTTTATCCACGAATTAGAGCCCAAACCAATACATGGGCGGCCTTGTGGCGCCCCTACATCTTTGATTAATGGCTGTTAGAATCTATATATATAAATATATCTAGGGTATCCTGAATCTGGTGTATAAAAGATATAAGTATATGTTTTTTACCAAAATAGTCAGTTTTAACAAAGACGACATTCTAAATATATTGAGAATTTACAGGATCCATACAAGATTAAATATATGAACGGGAAAAGTAATTTTAAATAGAAATCAATATAAATCAATGCTAGCTACAATAGATACAAAGTTTTTAAATGAAAAGATTATCAGAATATTTTCATTTTGTCCATTCTCAACAGTCAACATGAAACCCCATGCGGGGGGGGGATTTATAAAAAAAATTGCGCGGAATGAAAGAATTGGACTTTTAAAGACAAATTATTTGCGCTTTCAAATGAGTTTCTTATCTTCCAATAAGAAATTGAAAATAACAGGAGGGGAAAAAACCAAAAAAGGGGCGGGAGGGTAGATTAGTACAGACAGATAATTACCTTGACTGAATGTATACCTGAAGGGTTATTGCTGGGCGGGAGGGCTCTGAACAGATTTACAGAAAACATTCTTACAATCTCTGGATATACGGGTTCAGTGAGTACACCGTGATTATTGTTTACGTACTCAACCATCTCCTGCAGCGCTGCACGCTTCACCTAAACAGGGTTCAATGAGTACATCTGGGTTATTGTTAACGTGCTCAACCATCTTCTGCAGAACTTCACGCTTCCCCTAAACAGGGTTCAATGAGTACATCGTGATTATTGTTTACGTACTCAACCATCTCCTGCAGCGCTGCACGCTTCACCTGGTGACAATTATTATTTATAATATTATTATTATTCAAATCTATATTTGGATGAAATGTTCAATTCACCGTAAATGCGAAATATAAATATATATATATCTATAACAAGACATCTTAAGTTAACAAATTATATATCAAATGTTCAGATCGGTATAAAAGTAAACTAGAGTAGAAAAAAGGGAAAAATATCAGCAAGTAAAAAAACTTGAATTTAAAATCGCATACTAATTGTAACCGCCCTAACTCATGCTTAAATTGTATAGTAATACGATGGAAAAACCATCTGTGTTTAATTATCAGATAACATATTCATATATGAATGAGATTAAGGTACTAGCTATAAAAGTCACCCACTCAACTTTAAATTTAGAAATGAAGTTTTAGAACGTTCCTGTGTTTTCCAATCAAATTTTGAGTCGAATCATTTAAGATTAAGAGGAGATCCTTGTCTATGATCGGGAACATCAACAAAAATTGATTACGTCTCTCTCTATGAAGATGATTATATATATATATATATATATATATATATATATCTATATATGGTCTTCAGAGCGTCATTTCACAGTCCTTATTTAGATAATAAGTCAATTTTGTGAAAATCAAAAAAAATTTACGATTTTGTACAAATAATCTTAAAATTATTTTACCTCTTTCCATTTGAGGTCTGAGAGCGGGTCTGAGACAAAGTCGAAAAGAACACTGCACTGTCGAATCTTCTGAATAAATAATTCTTCTTTCTCCCCAGCACTCGCTTCTTTTAACAAGGGTAGTTTAGCTAGTTCTCGGTTTTGTGTTATGTTAAACCTAAAATAAATGTTGTTTAAGGGATCGGGTCTGTACCACTACCAGTATACGATGGTTGAACCCCCCCCCCCCCCNNCCCCTGAGCCGAATGCTAAAAAAAGGCTAACTGGTTTGATACTCCATTTTTTTAACCCTACCCGTCCACCCAATCTTTAAATGGTATAAAACTTTCGATTACTTTTAATGGATCCTATTACAGAATTTGTGAACACCATATCATGGCATTGTACATTATGGGAAAAGCAGTGCTTAAGAATCCGGATCCGTTGGATCCACAAGATTTTGGCTTCCTGGATCCGGATCCAAGGGGAAGAATATGAACCAAAAACTGAAAAAAAAAAAAATTCTGAACTTTTGAAAAAAGAGAAATTATAAAAATTTCCTCATTTCTGAATGGTTTATAAGTTTTAGGATAACTACAAGCGAAAAAAAATAAAACTACAAATTTGAAAATTAATTTTCTTAAAAAAATTAAGTAAATCTTAAAGAAATTACCTGGATCCGGATCCATTTTTTTCCAGTGCGGATCCAGGATCCGGATCCGCATCAAAATTAAATGGATCCTAAGCACTGGGGAAAAGTTTGACATAGGGCCGATGCACTCTGCCTCTAGCCTGTCCTAGCCTCAGCGCTCGTCCGAGAAATTGTTTTAAAATAGACTAACCCTTAACAGGACTCAGTCAAAGAGAAAATTTTTGGTCCGCCCCTTCAAAAAATGTTCATTAAGTTTGTATTACAGAATTAGGTTATGTTATGACAATTTCTGGACCGAGCGCTGCGGCTAGGACAGAATTGTGAGCATGGCGCTACGGCCTTGCATGCACATGTTTTGATGAAGGAAGGGGGGGGTAGGTTAAAAAAAATCCATCTCATGGACAGAGCCCTTTTAATGGATTATGGGGGTCCGTCCTAGTATACGATTTTTGGAGCCAAAACAATTTCTAGTATATCTTGGCCGGAAGTTTACCTGCTGGAGCTCGGTCGTCTCTCCTTTTTAACATGCGGCGATCCGCCGAAAAACTTCATTTTATTGATTTGTGTTGGGGGCGGGGGCTTAGTCCCATCTCCTTCCCCCTCCTTCTTTTCCAGCATTGCTAATTTACTTATCACAATTGGAATTCCGAGTCGCTTTCTGAAACAGAAACATAATTTTCAGCAAACCTTAATCGTCAGAATGTGTTTTAATTCGTAAATTTCAAAACATAAATTGAAATTATTAATTAATTGTGCAATTAATTAACTAAGAAAATTAAACCAGTTTCTCAAATCTTTACTCCGTAGAAAGTTGGAAAACATCAGCTGATTTCTCTGTGTCATATCATCTGATCTACGGATAATCGGAACTACGAGTTATCCGACCTAATTAATGGAGTCTTAAATTATAGGCTTTACAAAAGTATGGCTTATCCAAACTACAGGGTGTACCACATCATATTAGACCGAGAACGGGTCTAAATTACGATTTTCGGGACTAATTAGAAAATTTCATTAGAAAAATAACATAAGGCTTATAAGAATTTTCTTTTGCGGAATATGATATGATAAGTTTTTTGCGTATTAAGGGTTTATTTTGGTGTTAAAGATTGGAGATAATCTAATATGATATGGGACGCTCTGTACAGTTCACATACAAATATTAAAAGAATTAAATTTTTTTACTTCTTCCTTTTTATTTGTGTTTTAGAGATTATATTTCGATAGATTTAAAAATATTTAACTTAACAAATTTTAACATAAAAAGATTTCTTCAAATTAATTTTTGTCGCTTAATAGTAGACTCGATGAGCTGTAGTCCCAATGATATATCATCGTTTCGATTCAACAAAATTATTTGGTTTGGAGTTCTTTTATTTTAAAAATATAGATATATTTATAAATAATATAGCTTAAATAATTCAATGCCACAATATTGACGACTTGCATCTTGCCCTTATCATTTTGATCTTTATTTTGGAAAGAAAGCTGATCATAGATGAAAAATAAATTTCCCAAATGTCACTTTAAAAAAGACGACATTTAAGTTTTGCGTTGAAAACGCCCTCATTGGGTTTTGCGTACAAATGTACAGTGATTATTTACTTTAAAAGTACGAAAAACTGGTTTAATATAATTTGTGTTTATGTTTTTGTTTTGATATTCTCTAATCAAATAAATTAGTTAGTTTTACTGTTTTACTTCGACCACAAGCCACTTCACAATTCATTATTATTGCATTATTATTGCATGTGTTCTTCTCTTTCTTGTCATAACTATTTTCACATCTTTTTAACGAACTCAACTTGGACTTCGTTCCTAGGAAACGCTCTCCCAGGTACTTGATACTTTCCCCCAGAGCGGCCGCTCTCTCCATAGAAAGTTGTTGTCGTGTGGTTCATGTACTTTGGGGGACGATATGTTTGCCGCTAGATGTCTCCATACATATGACGACCATATATAGGAGACGTCAAGTTGTCGACCAATGTAGTTTAAGGAAGGAACGGCCTCAGAGGTGCTTAATCCTTCCCCAGCAGGGGTAGTTCTGAAACTCATATTTTAACCCCCCCCCCATTTTAGAATTATATTCCCTCCAAATCTATTAAGCGGGCTATAAATAGGTGTATATTACAGGTTTCTGAACCCCGCGCAAANATCTTGCAGAGAAAAGTTTTGGATTTTAGTTGAATAATGGAACACCGAAGGGGTGAGACTAATAAACGCATCATAAAACTTTTAGAACTTTTATTTTGCTCTAATTGACGTCCAGAAATGGTTAAAAACGAACAGTTAGGATTGCTGATAGCTAATTAATCATGTTTATACTTCAGAGGATTTGTACAGCGTTCATAATGACTGAAATGGATATGCCACTGAATTTCTCGATGAAGAAACTGGACTCCTCGGACAAGATGGATGAAAATATGAACACTCTTCTTAACATTGAAGGTTTGCACATCTGAACAGAATAATTTATTAATAGGTGATGTTAGATGTTAGATATTATAAATTTATAAATACAAGTTTAACTATCTTTTATATTCAGATGGGAGAAGGCCAGAAGCGGATCAACCTAACATCAGCCAACTTTCTAGTAAGATTTAATAATAAAAATTAATATGAAAGTTCGTTCTAGGAGTTTCTATTTTTTCCCCCTTTTCCAAAGCTTTCGAGACTGATAATAACAACCTTTGGAAATAAAGGGTAAATAACAACCTTTGGAAATAAAGGGTAAAACCTTTCTTAATCGACTTGAGAGAAATTTAACCTTTGATGCAACACAGAACTAGGTGTGACATGCTGAAAACTTTATTAAAGGGAGTGACCGGCTATGTAAGGTAGTTGAACTGAGCATGCAGTGTTGTGGAAAACTTCTTGATTCATTTGAGACATATTAAACTTTTTAATGATATGTAAATCCTAAGTTTGAGCGCAAATTCGACGTTCAAAACTCCTTCTTTGGGGGTGGATACGTTTTCAGAATTAGTTATTTTAAATTATTAAATATAACTACGACATATAGAATGTAAAAAAGTTCTACAATAAACTAGACGTCATGTATAGGAACATCTTGAGAAAATAAAAATAAATCTTATCATCGAAAGTAATCTTTTTCAATTATTAGTTTCTTTCTTGTCTGGTTTCTAATTATTCACAAAGATTTTCTAAAGATTTTCTAGAATTATTATTTAAAAGACGACATTTGAAGAATTTGAAGAAATCTGCCAATGCATTCAAAGAGAATAAGAAATTCATTATAATAATGAAAACGAAATAATCGATTTTAGCATTGATTTATTGACGAAAAGTTCTTTTGAGAAATTTGTTTCAACCATCTAATTAGATTACTGTATAATTTTTACTTTAATTTTCGTTGTCGTTATTTAATAATTAAAAAAAAAACTAATTCTGAAAACGTATCCACCCCCAAAGTAGGAGTTTTGAACGTCGAATTTGCGCTCAAACTCAGGATTCACAGATCTTTAAAAAAGTTTAATATGTCTCAAATGAATCCGAAAGAAGTTTTCAACAACACTGCATACTCAGTTCAACTACCTTACATAGCCGGTCACTCCCTTTAAAGAAAAATCTGGATTAATTACATATGCAGCTCGATGTTGCATTTAGGTGGTAGATTTATCTGGAAATTGGCATAGGAAGGTTCTGGCAATGAATTTCCAAAAGTTTTTAAATTATTCTCTCATTTTCGGCAGAGCTGCAGCTTCTGGTATGGTTACACAATTCCTTTTTGAAACCGAAGTTATTCGGAATAAAAAGCGTTTAGAGCTAATTATGTCATATTTGAATAAGTTAAATCCCACCTGTCCTTTCAATCGATTTGTTAAGATTAACTGAAATGTTCGATTTTTAATTTTAAGTCGCAGAAGAGACTGAAGGAAAGGTTAATATCTCTAGCCACAGTTCAAGGTGAATGCTTTTCCTTAAAGGGAGTGACCGGTATGGTGGTTGGAACTGAATATGCATTGTGGACAATTTTTTTAGGATTCATGAGACATAAAACGTTTCTATGACTTATAATTACTGAGTTTGAGCGCAAAGTCGACGTTCAAAATCATGTATTTGGGTGGGTACGTTTTCAGAATCATTTTTTAAAAATTATAATTAACGACAACAAAAAATTTGAACAAAATTTTACAGTTAAATAATTAGTTGTTTGAAAAGGTGTCTTAACGAATTTGTAGAAATCTGCAAAAAAAATCATAGAAATTATTGTCTCAAATGAATCTTAAAAAGATTTTGTACAAAATTAAGTTGTTTTGTAAGTTTTAACTAAGGAGGGGTTATAATACTTCTGAACTTATATTAAAGTTTGAACTAAGGAGGGGTTATAATACTTCTGAACTTATATTAAAGTTTGAACTAAGGAGAGGTTATTATACTTCTGAACTTGTATTTAAGTTTGAACTTAGGAGGGGTTATAATACTTCTGAACTTATATTAAGTTTGGATTAAGGAGGGGTTTATGCTTTTGCACTGACTTGTTTTGAATGAAAATTTTCACTGTGGCATGAAGACATTGTCGATCATAATGGGACTTTTAATCTCAAGTTGCACTCCACTTCCATCTAAAGAGGGTTAGACTCTATTTAAAATCATTCCCTTAAAACTTTCATCTGAAATATGTGAAATTTATTTTTTACTCAAATTCTCGCTACTTTTTCTTTTGTTCCTGACGTAAGTCACTATGATTAGAAAACTGCATTTCCAAATTTTAAAGGAAATTGTGGTCGTCTCAAAATGTTGACCAGAGAAAGGGTTTTGTTGTAAATCAGACATGCCACTCTATAAATAGTCGCTTTGGATAACTTTTACAGTCTCTTTAACTTTGATTTTTAAAATTTTAGCTCTGCCAGCAGGTTTAGTTCCAGTGCTGACCACAGTTTCTTTGCTGACCACTGTGAGTATGCTGGTTCATTGAGCTCCTCGACTAATCATCTTCTTCTGGTCTCAAAACATCCAGAAATATTCAGGTTTTATCATTTAGGGGCGTTAACATCATGTTAATGAAGGAGGGCCTAATCTTACATTTGAGGAAGGGATTTAGTCCGAATACTACCCTTGAAACCACCCTATATGTATACTATATAGGGATAGGCACCTGTTTCTGGGTTGTAAAATGAAAGGTTTAACGATAATCTGATTCTCTAAAAACAGCAAAGTTGTCTTAAAGTGGTTGGCGGTTATACCAATACAATGAAGACTACTTTCGATTTCAATTTTAATTGACCTCAAGCTTTTAAACAGTATTGATACACATTAACATGGAAATAAATAAGCTATAAATTTAAAAAGCTTCTCTTTGATTACTTGTAAACTTGTAATTTGAGAATAGCTTGAAAGTAGCAACATAAACAAGTCGTCTTGATTGTATTGATAAAATCGCCTACCACTGTATCTTATTGTATCATGCAAAAAAATGTATTGGCTAATAAAACATAATTTTGAACTATGAGAAATTTCAAATTATTTTAAACCTATAAAAAAACTTTCCTTAAACTATGAAAATGATATGCAATGAAGAGATCATTTTTTCCAGCTAAAACTTCATCATTTTCATTTTTTCTCTGAAGAAGTGAATTGTGAATTTTTGCCGAGACCAGGAAGGAAATTGACAGGATTTGAAATTTAAATATATTGTTACAATTGTGAATCTGACCTTTCAATTTTATTGGAGGATTACTAATCTTAATAATAGTCCTTAGTCTATTTCTGAACACCGAGACTAGAATCTGTTATAGATATGATTTTATACTATACAGTCATAACCAGAAAACTCTGAAAAATGAAGACTACGTTTAGAATGAAGTTATTATTGTAAAAATTCCATTGTGCAGTGCTCGGCCCAGAAATGTTTTAACCTAATCTAACCCCACATTCGGCCAACAATATATTAGTTTGATAAATAATGCGCTTGGCCCAGATATTGTTTTAACCTAACCCTAAATATCGGATAGTATTAGTTTAGTAATATTGCTGCAGTGCTCGGACCCCCATTTTGTCCTAGCCGCAGCGCAGTTACCAAATTGTGAGGTTGCCATATTATTAGTTACCGAAATGCTAGTTACCAAATTGTGAGGTTGCCATATTATTGTTACCGAAATGTTAGTTACCAAATTGTGAGGTTACCATATTATAAGTTACCAAAATGTCAGTTACCAAATTATTAGTTTCTAAACTATTAGTTACCAAAAACCCGCCTATTTTATATAAAAGTCTCAAAAGTAAAACTTATTTGCTTGGTAACAATATCAAATACACTTAATGTTGCTTTAATGTCATCATATTCCATTGTTTTCTTGTTATCACCGTATTTCCTAGGGATTTACCAGCTGAAGAGATGGCAGCAGTTCAACAGAAGCTATTTGAACTTGGAACATGTCAGGTGACCAAAATATATCTTGTTTTTTTATCTGCAACTCTAAACGATGATAGGCATTTTCCCAAGTGTCAAATTCCCAAATTTGCAATTTCTCGAGTGGAAACTCCCCAAGTCTTACCTTATCGCAGTGCTCGGCCTTTAACCTGTTCTAGCTACCGGGCCCCCCTAGTTCATCCTAGCCGCAGCGCCCTGCCCCCATTGTAGCCTGAAGCGCCTTTGGGAAGTTACACATTTTAAAAGTTGTCCCCTGGGAAGGCGCCCTTGGGAAAATAGCTAGCACCCCTATAATTTACATGCCATATCCTAAGCTTGAAATATCTCAAAAGTAAAGAAGGAAAGAAAATTCAGGATTGAAGCTCTTTGGATTCATTTTATTACAGATCGTAATTTTCTATTGCGGCTGAAGGTGAATTTTAAGTAATCCTACCAGCTCTTCTCTTTTATTTTTGCTTTTCATTAATTGCAATATTTGATCATAGATGGAGTGTTGGAAGTGTTGTAATGTTATTTCTTATATCTCCGGACAGTTCGAAGATGTAGCCAGGTGTGATGTAATTTTAATTCATCCTCAAATATTGAATTCATTTTTTGTCATTATTTTGGAGAAGGAACAATAAAAGTTTAGTATTTACTTCTTGTAAGGAATCTTGTGTTTTAACAATTTAAAATGAAAATTTTTAGAAATTTAAACATGGATAAAAGTATTTTACATTCTATAAAAGTTCCAATCATTTGAAATTCTAGGATTTTTAATTTTTATATTTGGTCCCATATGTACTGATGCAAAAAATGTTGTTCCAGACATGTCAAGGATTGTTGGGGTTCAGATATCAGTCATGATTTTTGCCACCAAGAAATAAGGTGAGGAAAATATAATCTTATCTAATTTTACTCTGATCAGATTTGAACTTTATTTTTACTCTTCTGATCAGATTTGAACTTTATTTTTAAAACTTTATTTTTACTCTTCTGATCAGATTTGAACTTTACTTCTTAAAGCCACAATTTACCTTTAAGAAACAGCATTTGAAAATTATTTATTTTTAATATATAAAATTCATTAGGATGTTTCAAATAATTTGGTTTTAAGGGTTCTGAAATTTTAATGGAGGGTCACTTAAAATCATTTTCTAGTCATTGTAATCTTACGAACACTTGTTAGATCTGTATTCTGTGAGATAGAGGCGCTTGCTGATGCTTTAGTAAACCATGATACAGACACATCTTATGAAGATGAAAGTGATGAAGAATTTGATGTAACTCTTGAGCTAGTCAAAGATGAATTGAGGAAGGCAAAAGAGGTGATTCATATTATTTTGATCCAGATCCCACTTTCCCAAAAATACAAAATTATCTGAATGAACCATTTAGCTATTTTTGTTGGTATTTTGCTTCCTGGATCTTTATCCAAAATGTTTAAAATAGACTGATTTCTTAGTCAATTAATTAGATGAAGTCTGTGTTTCTGTGTGAACCAGTGGACAATGTCTTTGAGGGAAGAACCGGTCTTGTACTTTGTCTTGATCCCCAGGTAATAAATGCTATTGGTTAGTCATCTAACAAATACTATTGGTTGTCAGCTAACAAATGCTATTGGTTTGTCAGCTAACAAATATTATTGGTTTGTCAGCTAAACAATATTATTGGTTTGTCAGCTAACAAATGCTATTGGTTTGTCAGCTAACAAATACTTTTGGTTTGTCAGCTAACAAATATTATTGGTATGTCGGCTAACAAATGTTTTTGTTATGTCAGCTAACAAATGTTATTGGTATGTCAGCTAACGAATACTATTGGTTTGTCAGCTAACAAATATTATTGGTTTGTCAGCTAACAAATACTATTGGTTTGTCATCTAACAAATACTATTGGTCAGTCAAGGTAACATACTATTGGTTAGTCAGGATAGAAAAACTTACAATGAAAGGAAGAAGGGCCTCCTTGAAACTCGTCTTTTATTTTAATTATTAAATTTCCCTGATTTGAAAAATCTCTATTTTAAATCTCAATTTTCAAGGATTTCCTGATAGACCTTCACCGTACAATAGAAAAAATATGGTTTGGACCTCAAGAGTTGCCAGCCACAAAATTTGCCGAGTGCATCATGTTACCTGCTGGGCGGGAACGCATGTCTTACGAAACTGAACTTAAGGATTTTCTGAAAGAGGGAGAATCCGCTATCTACAAGTAAGTTGCATTGGGTCCATACTTCATATTAGCCCAGTAATGTTGTACGCTTTTGCACTTACAAATAATAACAAAACCACGTGTAGATGTTGACTTTGATGTGCTGTCACTATTTCTTGACTAAGTGCTGTGACTTGGGATGGTCTATGGGAGAAGCACTTCGTCAATGTGATTTAAAATGTACTGTGTCGTTGCTGGATTTTTTTTGTATCTATTACAAGGATTGTAGATTTACTATTTTAAAAGTGGTTCAAAAGTGGTTCAGTTTTAACTATTTTTTAAAAAAGGTTAAAAGTGATCTGTTAATCAGGCATTTCCCTCTTTTCTTAAATAAAATGTCACATTAGTCGCATTGATTCAAACACTTGTTTTTATTTATTATCTTGCACTAGGTATGGATCAGGGTATGCTAGAACATCAGTTAGAATCACTTCACTAGGTATTATAAGCTAATAATTAAAAAATTGAATTTAAATGAAATCTTCTGTTTAATAGGTTGTATGGATATTGCATTACGCCAATGGAATTCTAAAGTTATGATGTCTCACCTTCCATTAGAGCTTGTATGCTCAGGATGCTGCTCAGAGATGGGGAAACTTATTCTATGCTCTAAGGTAACTTTTTATCATATCCAGTAATTGTAATCGTCAAAAAAGCTGAACCGATTGGGCCCAAATTTTGTGTGGGACCTCACATGACCCCAGGAAATGTTTGTGGATGCTTAGAATCAAAAAAAGTTTTCTCAAAAAAATTTCTGATTTTCGTAATATTTTGAAAACCCACGAAAAAATATTGAATGTGCAAATTGTTTGATTTTTTATGTGAAGTTAAAATGGAAGATGGCCGCGAAGTGTCTTGTATGAGTAAATTGTTTAGATTAAGCTCCCATAATCCTTCAATTAAAAAATTCAGGCAAATTTCCGCCCTCTGCCTTTGATGATTAGTTCTGAGATCATGTTTCATCCCAGAAGCTTCTGCTCCCTTCCCTGCCTGGAGATATACAACAACAGAACTGGGCAGAGAATACCTAGGTACCAGTAGAGTCACTTTATTAGAATTTAATATATTTTTTTCTTTTAGAATCAAGGGATAGCATCGTTATTTAATGGTTATTTTGTGTTTTAATATTGGTTAGGCATTCGCCGCATTTATGAATTCCAAATGATTAAAAAATTATCCTACATCATAATCTGTTCTCATTTTGGCTCATCTGAATCTCCGGGTTGATTTACACAATTCTTGGTTAATTTGTGACAAATTTTAACCTTTGAAGAGTTGAAATCTATAACTTGTAAAGGTGTGCTCTGGAAAACGTTTTGGATTCACCCTGTTTCTTTCCACGTGGTCTGATGGAAGACGACATTAACAACTCGACAGGTACAGAGGAATTGTTTCCCCAAAGGCAACTTCCCAAATGTGCAATTTCCCAAGCGGCAACTTCCCAAATCTGGTTAGCTGCAGTGCTCGGCTGTTATTGAAGGCCTAACCTAACTTTTGGGAAGTTGCCACTTGGAAAATTGTCAACTGAGGAAGTAACCCTCATGGGGAAAAAACCTAACGCCGTTTTTTTAGCACCTTATTTTAGGAATTTTCAGGAAATGTTTTTTGTCTGTTCATGAACTATTGAGTTGGCCGTATTTTTATTACACAAAATTCGCCTTTTTCTTAACGAGTCCTCTGGAAGCTTGAGAGTCCTAAAATATGGATGAAAACAATGCCCTATCCCAATCTGAAAGAACCATTCAGTGTGCCATTTGTGGCGTTTATTTGATTGTGTACTTTTGTCTCAATATAAAACTTAAGAAAACTTTAACAGATGATTTTATCTAGATCAGATTTGAACTTTATTTTTACTCTTCTGATCAGATTTGAACTTTATTTTTACTCTTCTGATCAGATTTGAACTTTATTTTTTAAAGCAACAATTTACTTCTTAGAAACAGTTGTTGAAAATTATTTATTTTTAATATATAAAATTCATTAGGATGTTTCAAATAATTTGGTTTTAAGGGTTCTGAAATTTTAATAGAGGGTCATTAACTATTTTTAAATTATAGATTTACAAGCTATTGAGTTGGCCGTATTTTTATTAAACAAAATTCGCCATTTTCTTAATGAGTCATCTGGAAGCTTAGTCCTAAAAACTTTATAAAATATAAAACTTTATGATTTTATCTAGATAGTTCTTTGAATGACAGCTACAGTATTCCAATTGGGAAGAGAACTAAAAAGGTTCGTTTTTCTTGTTAAACTAAACATTTTTCTGGCTTCCTCATTCGACCTTTTTAAACAAAGAATTGCCTCAAGTAATTTTGTGCTTTTGTATGATTCCTTAAAAGGTATATCTTGAATTAGTGCTTAGGATCCATTTAATACTGATGCGGATCCAGGTCATTTCTTTGAGATTTACTGAATTTTTTTAATAAATTTTTTTTTTCAAATTTGTTTTATATTTTTTTCGCATATTTTTATCCTAAAACTTATAAACCATTCTGAAATGAGGAAATTTTTACAATCTCTTTTTTTCAAAAGTTCAGATTTTGCTCATAGGAGTAAAAGTTTTTTTTGCATTTTTTGGTTGATAATTACCCCTTGGATCCGGATCCGTGGATCCGCATATTTGCGGATCCGGATCCAGGAAGCCAAAATCTTGCGGATCCAACGGATCTGGATCCGGATCACTGCTTGAAATTATATATCTCTAAATAATATTACTTGGCTATGTTCTAATTTTGAATTTTTTTATTTAGTTTCTAGGACACTTCTTGAAGAAAAGTTCTGGTTCTTTGGCAGATAGATCTGGATCTTCTAAGGTTGGAAAATTAAGTTTTTTTAATACTTTGGTGATGCCATATTTTCCCCTCTCAAAGCAAGAGATGTTTTTTCATTTCAGTCTTGAAGGACTCGTTAGTTTTTTTTCAATCGTTTTGAAAAAAAAACAAGCTTTTGCTCATAACTACCCTCGGTTACATAAAGTTTTTTTTATTGAAGGATTCCTGCGCGTGTGACCACTGCGCAGAATCTAGTTGCTCTACCAGCTTTAACACCTCAAGGAAGAATGGAATTATCAAATAATTTTTAAAGTTTTTTGTGCCAAAAGATTTCAAGTACTGTGCCAAAAGATTTTGATTTCAAAACTGAATAAATCCGTATAATTCCCATAGGAAGTTTTATATTTATCTTAGGATCACAAAACTCTTAAAAATGAAACTTAATTTTCTAAATTTGTTTTTCAAAATTCAGCAATTTGCGGGCTTTAATTTAAGGTTTAACGAATTGAAAACAAAATTTCCCTTTTGAAAAATTCAAAGATAAAATGAACATATTAACATTTTAACTCTGTTATTTCTGAAGTATTCAAGTTAATAGTTAACTTTATTCTTTAGTGAACCTAGCACAAACTGTAGCACATGTAGCAGCAGCAGTACTAATGGTACCAGTAGCTGCTCAAGTGAAAGTAGCTTCAGTACTCCGAGCACTGAAAGAAGCTCCAGAAGATGAGAAGATTGGAGGATATATTATTGATTTTATGTATTTTATATGTTGCTCAACGATTTTAATAAATGATTTAATAAATGAGTTTAAATTCCTAATCGATAGAAATATTTTAATTTTTTTATTTTAAATTTAACAATTTGAATGAATTTTTAGAACCATATAGAAATATTCTATTATAATATTCAATTATAAATATTCTGGCTTTCTTCTTCAGCTCATATATATGTTTATACTCCTGACTAACTAGCTTGCAATTAACTAGCGTGTAAAAACTATGCATAAATAAAATTATTAGAACTTGCAAGTTGTCTTTTTGTCAGGAGGTTACAATTTTTCTTTACCCTAACCATAGGTTTTTAAATTTATATAAAAAAATTAAATGGCTTAAACTGGTAGCCTGGGATGCTCTGCTGAACTTTCAATTTTGGAAGAAAAAAAAATCTTGCTTTCTCCGTTAATGATACATTTTGTATTATCTTTGATCTTAAAAAATGAACTGTTTGGTGATCTCTGTTTTAAATCTTTAAAACTTCCAATGTTCCTTGATAGTTTTTATATTTGGTTTTTTGATTTTTCCGGATCATCTTTATTTACAATTTTGCTCATTAGCGTACATCAGCACTTAATCACCATATCCATAAGAACTAGACAAGCAATTAACCAAGCTTTAGATTTACGTTATGTCGATTTCATAATTTGTTTGACAGTATGCCTCACTTTTATTTAAAGAAAAAATGAAATGTTAATACGCCTAAATTGATAGCGCGGCTGATGAATGAGGAACTAAACCGGGTAAAGAAGATGAAATAAGCAAACTCGAGATATATCGTACTTTGTTAAATATATTTAGGTTTGACATACTTTAATTTCAGTTGATAAGTTAAACCATTCATTGAACATAAAATCAAAATAAAATAGATCAATGTATATTAATCACGCAAGGCCTAATATCAAATATAAAGACCAAATATTATATCAGGCGTGATTGTAAATGTATTAAAGGGACTGTATGTAATAACTAAAGCTCGAATTAAAGGGAGAATAAGATAACAAGTGAAGCATGCAAATTATTGGAAAATAAATCTTATGAAATGTTAAAGCAACAGTGTGTCATAAAATACCAATATCTTTGCAACCCAACGTTGTAACTTTAGATATTTCAAACTTTCAATTCTATTAAAACTATCATTTTGAAATATCAAAGGTTTACACAATCAGGTTACAAAGATCTTGAAATTAGAAAACATGTGCTTGTGGCAAAGACTCAATTCTTATGCAAAGATAATGTAAATAAATATAAGATAGTAAGCAGATCATTTTTACCAGAACAGAACCAATAGAAGTAAACCGTAACATTTTGTGAGAAATAAGTAACAGAATGATAAGAATAGTAAAAGCATTTTATTTGTAACTGTTTTAACAGGCAGGTTTAAAATAATATTATCATATTTACATTTAGTAGCATTAAATGATAAAGTGAATGTATACACATTTTACTATAACATTCTATGAAAATATGCTCCGAATATTCTTTTCACCTTACTAGATATTCTAATTATTTAAATAAAACTAACAGTGGCGGAAATAGGGGGGGGGGGATATTGGAGTTATTTACGCCTTCTATAGAATCCTGTTCTAATTACCCCCGTAGAATTCCGGGGGTAATTTAATTACCCACCCCCTTGAATCTTGGTGTTGATTCCCCCCCCCCCCCTAGAATCTTGGAGGTATTCAGGCCCTGAATAGCATGGAGAAAAGAGTTAGTTGTTACTTTGTTTTTGTTTTTGAAAAAAGGTTGATTTTGAAATTGAATATCTCTAAAATTTGCACGAAAATGATTTAAATGTGCAGATACTTCAGATATTTCAGATTGTAATTCAACATATTCTAAATGATTCTAAATTCTAAAGTAATAGTCAATGTCATTACAATTAGATTTTTTTTTTAATAGAAAAAAGGGTATGGGCAATGAAGAATACATTTTTACTTCTAAATAAATTTAATTTCATGATTAGATTTATTTAAGTTCTAAATATTCTCCATTGACGACAAGAAAATTTTAGAAACTAGAAATTAGAATATAAACAAAGACGACAATTTTTCTAATTTTTAGTTTTCTAATGTATGCTTATAACACATTGTAAAACTCAAATGTAGCGGATTTTCTCCAGGCATTTCAAATTTCTAAAAAAATTGAATTTCGGACGGTCATAAACTTTCCCCGGGATCATGAAGGTTGGTAGTGATACACAAATTTGAAACCGATCGGGTTGAGGGAGGGGGTGCAGAGGCGCCATGATCCCCGCAAAAATGATCTCCGAAAAACAAAAAGCGGAGACCAAAATGCGGGGCGTGGAGACAGAATGGCGGAAGGCTTGGTGACGTCACTGAGGCTGGGAGACCAGTTTTGCGGGGCCTGGAGGTAATTCTGCAAATCCTGAGGTTCGGAGATCATTTTTGCGGGGATCATGGCGCCTCTGCACCCCCTCCCTATCGGGTTAGCCTTTTTGTCGTTTCTAAGACACAGGCAGAAAAACCAACAGAGGAGAAATATAAAAACATGTTTACATTATTTTGTATATTTTTAAAACAACTATATGTGTAGAATTCACTATAGTTTCGGTGGAAGTAAATATTTCCATTTACTGTTATAGCGCCGATATATGGATTCATCTCTAATTGGATAATGAGATAGATAGAAAGATAGATATGATACCGCCATACTATTTCTATTGGTTCAAAATAGACACCAAACACATAACTGAATCCTGATTGGATCCGGAGCTAATGCACTTGGCATCTACTAGAGTGAATTGTGGTAGAGAGATTGAGAAGGGAGTTAATGAGGAACTATTTGAAACATTACGTCGGGGGATTTCAACAGGCATAGTTTACGCAACAAAATTTTAATGTGTAAATTTAGTTAGATTTGTTAAGAAAAAATGAAAAAAACTGTTTTTTAACAGATAAATATATCTTTAAAAATGATAATATAAAATCGATCAAAAAAGTTAAAGAAGTTAAAGTCAATGAAAAAGTGATTAATACAATAAATTTTTTTGAAAATTATGTTTAAAAAACGATTTGAAAATAAAACTTTTGTCAAAAAAAGTTCCTACGGGCCTGTATTTGTATGAAACTTTATCACGTTGCCATCTGACATGCATGCTTATAACCGAGATTCGCACCTAAAACAGTGTGACATGTTTTTGTACAGTTTGGACAATTATTACAATCACTATACTATACAATGTTGAAAATTGTTACAAATTTTATTTTGTGAATAATATTTAGTGAATATTTTATTTTTATAAAAATTATCAGGAAGAATTTTCAAAATACAGTTTATTGTCAGAACTAAATTCCCGTAAATGTATATTACTAGGCTTTTAGGGCGCTTCGCGCCCATCTTCTATTTAAATTGTGCATGTTTTTTTTGTTTACATTTTAAAGCAAAGAAGAAAAACATATGCGGATTTTTAAAAAAAAATCGCGGATTTTCAAGAATTTAAATTTTTTACAAAATTAAAAACCTTTAAAAGACATTTTTTAAAATTTTTATCATTCATAAACCTTCCCTGTGGTCACGTGATGTCCCACAAAAAATTTGGGCCTGATCTGTTCAGCCGTTTTGACGTTTATTGGATACAAACAGACATACACCAAAACAAACAGACAAGCCAAATTTATATATAGATAGAGAACAGAAAGACAAGGGGGGGGTCATTTTTTAGGCTCTCTGCAATATAGTAAATACAAATTATCATGTTTTTGGAAGTTTCGTGTTTTTGAACTTTCAAATTGTTTTTGAATTTTATTCAATTCGATACTTTTCCTTAAATTGCACAGAATATTCCTTGTAAATATGCATTCACTTGTTTCTGAAATAGAACTCTGAAATCTGAACCCGTTTTCTAACTATTTATTTTTCTATTTTAAATATTGAATTGAAATATTGATGATTTGATGAATTATCCCGATGGTTTTGAAATTATTGAAGCGGAAAAAGTGTGTATTCGTATATGTCAAAAAAAAGTTTTAAAAAATGGTTCTTTAGTGCACACAATACAAAAGATATTTGAGCGGAAATTTGGTTGGTTAAATGTTTGATTTAAAAAAAAGATTTGAACCGTCTGTAGAAGTTCAGTGAACTCTCTAATTCATTCATTTCGGTCCCAGCTGTATCTAAATTCTAAAGATGGGTTGCTGTAAGAAAGGTGCTTACTTTTTATGTGAATTTATGATAATCATCATATTTCAAATTGTTTCATCAAAAAGTTTGCCTTTAACTTAAATTGAAGAAAAATCGAAAAATGAAAATTATTGTTATAAGTGTTTTGGTTGCCAGAAACATTGAAGATATATGGTTAAAGCAAATTGGAAAGTGCTATGTAAAATAAACTCCTCACTGTCGAACCCCAAATCAAACCTTGGAATATATTTTACCAAGCAAGCAAGTCCCTCAGTAGTAGTAGTAGTGTATATTAATTTTACCCCCTTCCCCCCTTCTAACCGCTCTAACCCTACAAAAATTACAGTTTCTTTTAGTATAGGGTAGGCAAATGTCTTAATAATCCATGTATTTATCTAAAAACCAATATAAAAAAAATATTATTGATTGAACTTTTTACATTAACATTTTAACATATCATATCATGTTATTCTAATTATTTTTTATTTCCTGCTATTTTTTTTTGCTAATTTTTCTTGTTAAATTAATCAAAATAAGGCTGAAAGTAAATAAAAGAATTTTTTTTCCAAACAAAGGTATTTAGCTGATTTCCATGATCAAGGCCAGCCTCTTTGGGTGCATCGCCATTCTTCCCAGTTTGACCAGCCTGTCGTTGGTCATAGATGACCTGTTCAATGATAAACAGAGCGTCCCATATCATATTAGATTATCTAAATCTTTAACGCCAAAATACGCACATAATGCTCAAAAAATCTTGCATTTTCTGCAAAAAAAAAATTTCTAATAGCCTTTTAAAACTTTTCAAAGTGATTCATTCTTCTTAAATTTTCTGATTTGTCCCCCAAATTCTAATTTAGAACCATTGACGCGGTCAAATTTTATCTGGGACA